ATATATTTATTTTTTCTACTTGTAAATTTGGTATTTCTCATTAAAGAACTTATAGACTTTATAGCATGAAACAATGATTCCTGCACATGTAATATAAATCACCAAAAATCCAATAATACCCATTAAAATGAGTACCATTCTTTAAGCAAACCAAGAATCACAAACATATAAATATATGGCCCAAGTCAAATAAATCTATAATGCAGTAACAGGAATTGAAACTGTTGCTTGAGTGATATAAAGCTTTACTTTATAATAATCTTTAGGAAAATATTGTGTGCGCTTCTTTAAGTTCACAAAAAACTCTACTTAGAGGTAGACAAAAGTAAGCTAAAAAACGATAGTGATTATTAGCAGAGCTATACTCAATCCATTATAAATTACAAATAAATGAATCATCATCAGCAATGAAGATGAGTAAATGAATTTCATATAGATTAGAGAACCAAATACAAGAACATAAAAAACAGGAAAACTTTCAACGATATGATATAATGGTTAGTTCTTATCATGAAGTAAATTCAAAGGCTATTAGCATATCCAACAAAACTTATATTCACATCTTTTGCAAGTCATGTGTGAACATCCTCCGTCCTTTTCTATGAAGGCGCTACATTTTGGACAAGTTTTGCAAGTCATGATCTATCTAAAAATACTAATCCTATCATTAAATGAACTCTAAATGACTTTGAGTGCACTTTATACAGATTTACTTGGAAGGAAATTATTGCTTTGCCATTAATAATTGCATTAATTACAAGCTACATACTAACTATCGCACTTTTCGTCAAAATTTATAAACCAGGCATTGTTGCAATTCTATTAGGGGCATTTCATTATATCGGGTGCTTAAGATATATAATTCATAAGTAGATGGTGATGAAATTGTTCCTAGCAATCCAAGAAATTATCCAAAACTTTCATTTGGTAAGCCATTTTTTCTTTAGTAATTATACGAGCTTAATAAAATGTATCAGAAAACATCTTTAGAACTTCATCAATTGTAAATTTTTTCAAGCAGGCTTGATTAAAACACCTTATTTGAACTTTTTCTTAGTCTTTATAATAAGTCAAACTACTTTTCAGATACTAGAGCAAGCAGTCATTGCAAATTTACGAATTGCATTAGCATTTGTAGATTTTGATAGTTCTATTATCGTCTCTCGGTAAGTTGTAACAAACAATGCAATTATACTAGCTCATTTTCACAGTCAGAAAATTTGTAAATTAAATTTGATATATTTTAATAACATAACCGAAATTTTCTATTAATAATATTAAAATCATTGAAAATTTATTAAAAAATGAAATGTAAGGAATTTTCCTTCTCATAATTATTTGAATTCTTGTGTAGCGGGGTTTTGGGGTTTTGGGG